GGGGCAGGTTGCATTTCAGGCCCCTTGGGATTGTACTAGCTAATCCAACTAAAAAGACATGTAAATATCTGACACCTAAATATCTGGCCCACTCCCTCCATGTGTTCACTTGCTTAAAGCTGAATAAATGACATGCTTGCCTACTTGATTGTGATTGTAATGGAACAATTAGACCTATACAAATCTGTCATAAGCATCCAAGCTACCAAACCAAAAAAACCAAACCCACTGCCATCAAGTCCATTCCAACTCACAGTGACCCCCACTGGATTTCCTAGGCTGTAAATCTTCATAGAAGTAGACTGCCTCATTTTCCTCCCATGGAGCAGCTGGTGGTTTTGAACTGACCTTCTGGTTAGCAGCCAAATGTCTTAACCATTACACCATTACAAGGGTCCCTTTTGGCTCAGAAACGTGTAGGCTTTGTTTTGTTCACTCTTCTAAACTTCTCACACATTGCTTTATAATTATTTGCATACATCTCTTTTTCATTTATCTCAAAGAAAATCCTTAAAAAATGACTGCATCCTACTTTACTCTTGGGATTCCCAACAATTCCTTCTAAAGTGGTCTGCATATAATAGGTGTCTGATAAATACTTGAATAAATAGTTGAATGCATAAGTATATTTGTTTTACATATCAGAAAACTTGAGCTGGTCCAAGATCATAGGCTAGTGGTACAATTGAGCCCAAATCTATAATGTACTGTTTACATAGTAATAGCAACCTCCAGTAGCTAACCAGCAGTAACCACTTGCCTGAGCAGGCTCCAACTATACTAGTTTCATTTATATAAGTTTCTACTCTCTCTGATACCATGATCTAACAATATACAATATCAAACTTACTATGCCACTCTGTTCAATTTCCGTATGATCTTCTATATTTTTTGGATCTGTAAAATGGTGACATAAACAGTAAAGCACGCTTTTCAATAAGGAACTGAAAGATATAACAGGGTGTATCGAATAAGCCCCTCCAACTCAGAAAGCCTGTAAGATATCTGACAAAGGACTCATCTCTACAATCTACAGAAAACTCCAACATCTCAATAACAAAGAGAAAAACAATCCAATTAAAAAATGGGCAGAAGACATGTATAGACACTTCACCAAGGAGGATATTCAAGCGGCCAACAAACATATGAAGAAATGCTCACGATCATTAGCCATTAGAGAGATGCAAATCAAAACAACAATGAGATACCATCTTGCTCCAGCACTAGTAGCAAAGTTCAACAAAACAGAAAATAACAAATGCTGGCGAGGATGCAGAGAGATTGGGACTCTCATACACTGCTGGTGGGACTGTAAAATGGTACAACCATTGAGGAAAGCAATATGGCAATTCCTTCAAAGTTGGAATTAGAAATACCATTTGACCCAGCCATTCCATTACTAGGTATATATCCTAAAGAAGTGAGAGCCATGACAAGAACAGGCATAGGCACACCCATGTTCATCACAGCACTATTTACAATAGCAAAAAGATGAAAACAACCTAGGTGTCCATCAGCTGAGGAATGGATAACCAAACTATGGTACATACACACAATGGATTACTATGCAATCCTAAAGAATAATGTAGAATCTGCAAAACACCGCATAACATGGATGAACTTGGTGGACATTATGCTGAGTGAAATAAGTCAATCACAAAAGAACAAATATTGTATTAGTCCATTATTGTAAAAGTTTTATCTATGGAAGGAAATTTTCTTTGTTGGTTACTAGGGGTGGAATGGGAGGGGAGGGAACACTGTTAGATAGGTAGAGATAAGTATTGATTTGGGTGAAGAGAAGGGCAATGTACCAAATGTGAGTGATCAATATGGTGGCACTAAGGAAGAGAAAGACATAGAGAGGTACATGGAAGGTACAGACAACAAAGATGAAGCCTTTTGCACATACAGTACTGCATTGTCAGTGAAGGCAAACATGGGTATACGGGTGGCTAGATGGGTGGACAGGCTGAACTAGTAGGTATGTCTATGAAGTGGGGAGTGTACCCAAGACCATGTATAGGGTTGGCAGACAATGGTCCTATAAGTTTATTTATATGTTCTGTAAGAATTCCCAGGTATATAATAGAGGTGACAAGGGGCAAGGTTGTAGTCACTTCTTGGTCACAGCCAGCTACCCAGAGGGACTGAGTAGTTTAACCTGTGGGCTGGGGACCATAGTTGCAGGGGACATCAAGCTCAATTGGCATAACATACTACATAAAACATTGTTCCACCTCCTACTTTGGTGAGTAGCAACTGGGAGCTTAAAAGCTTGCAAGCTGCCATCTAGACGCAACGATGGGTCTCTCCTCGTCCAGAGCAAAGAAGAATGAAGAAAATCAAAAATTCATGGAAACTATTAGTCCCAGCGACTGGTACACCATGCAATCTGCAGCCTATATGAATAAGAGACCAGAAGAACTAGATGGTGCCCAGCTACCACTGTCATCGACTTGGAAGGGGATCTATGTAGGAGATCCTGGATAGAGAGGGAGAAAAACGTGGAATAAAACTCAAAATAATTTGGAGGAAAAAAAAAGGGTTAGCTGGTCCAACAGAGCCTGGTGGAACCACTGAAACTACGGCCCCTAGCTGCCCTTCAGGTCTGGAATTGACCCCACACCTGTGGCTTCCAGCCAAACAAAAGACAGGCATATGAGCTGAACATTTACCTGAGGTAGATACACTCCTTGGAGACAACAATGATGGGAGAAAGAAGGGCTGCTTATGTACAGGGAGACAGCTCAGGGGGCAGGAGTGCATGGAGGGATGGACACAGGGAAGGAGGTAACTATTGGGAGGAAGTGGGAGGGGAGCTGTTGCATTGTGGTAAATTGTGGTCAATGTCATGAGACAAAGTGTATGTGAACTGCTATATGGAAAGTGAATTTGCTCTGTAAATTTTCACCCAAATCGCAATTAAAAAAAGAAAGAAAGCCTGTAAGAGCCCTCAGTACCTCACCTAAACTGACAAGTTAAATATCATTTAAGTGGTAAATGGTGATCTCTAGCTTCTTAGGGCAAATATCCTAAAACTTCTCATCAGCTTTTCAATCCTGAGGGTCTGGAATTTATTAAGAAAACCTTATTTTTGTGTGGAATCTGTAGTATTTTTCATCTCTTACCAGGATGCAAGGAAGATTCTAGAATCCCAGTGTTAGAAAGAACATTACAGGTCCTTCAGACATTCTTGTATCCTATGGGTCAACCAACTGCATAGCTAGCCTTCACTTCAAGTAACTTAACCCCCTCATTGTGAATATAATTCAGTTCCCATCTTTTTATACTTCAGACTATCTTTCAACAAGTACCAGGCACTGTAAACATACTGTATGGGGAAAAAAACATGGCCCCTCACTTCTATGGCACTTTCAGCATCATGGAAGAAACAGAAATTACACAAACAGTCCCATAAATAAACCTACAGTTATAAAATGTAGTGAGTGCTATAAAAGAAGAAAAAGAAGCATATGATAGAAATAATAGGGTACTAGTAGGTCAAAGAAAGCACCTTTGAAGAAGTGACATTTGTGACCTAAAAGATAACACAGAAGTTAGCCAAGTAAAGACTGGGAGAAAGAACATTCCAGGCTGAGGGTCAGCATCTGCAAAGACTCTGAAGCAAGAAAGAACCTGGCTCCTTATTGTTGTTAGTTTCTATCAAGTCAAATCTAACTCATGGTGACCCCATGTGTACACTGCTCCATAGTATTTTCAAGGCCATGATCTTCCGTAAGCAGATCACCAGGCCTGTTTCCCCAGGTACGTTTGGCTGAGTTTGAACAGCCAAACTTTCAGTTAGTAGTCAAGTGCTTAACCATTGTACGACCCAACGACTCCATACTTGGCTCCCTAGAGGATCTAAGGAAGGCCCAAGGAAGAAGATAGAAAATGACATGAGGTGAACCTGCAGATAGAGACTGGGAATGGTCCACAAAGGGTCTCATAGGTTATAAAAGGGATGGGGTTTTCTTTAAAGTGTCACAGGAAGTCACTGATGAGTCCTGAGAAGGGGAGTGAATAAGATGGTTTACCTTTTAAGATTAGCTTAGTTGTCATGTGGAAAATAGACTTGAGAAAGGCAAGAGGGAATTTGTGGAGAGACTAGTTAGGATGCTACTGCATATGGATAACATCTGTTGAACAGTTATTATGTGCCAAGCATTGTCCTAGAATAACATAAGTATTACATTAATTTAATACCAAAAACAAGTCAATGAGATTACACACACAACCAATGCAGGCATCCAGCTGAGAGATGAGCCAGAAATGTGGCAGTGGACATGGGACAAAAGAGAAGAACCAGAATATATTATAATATGGGCTTCAATTTTAACCCAAGGGCTTCTACAGAACTCTAAGCCCTCTTTCACAGGAGAACTCTTGCCAAAATCTTCCAAGCCAGCTTTCATCTCCTATCCAATGTTCCCTTCTTCAAGCAAATTAACTCTAGTTCTTTCAACTATTTTTCATATGGCATGATACTGAACAAGACTTCAATCTTGTTATCCTCTGGGTATGACATAAGTCAACACTGATTATCATCACTGACCAAAGAGTTTGGGGATGAGAAGAGGATATGGTATTAATCATTATTGATTATGCCAAGATCTTTATCTTACCTAACTCTCTTAACAGCCTTCTAATTATTGTTAGAAATGGAAACAGGGTAGAGATCTGAGAGGTTAAGATATCTGCTCAAAGCCACACAACTAGTAAGTGATGAAACTTGGATGTGAATCCAAGTTAAGTGGATCCACAGCCCATGCTCTTTATTCTGTATTCTGCTGCCTTTATGCATCATATTAATTCTTAGCTCCCACAACTTCTTGGATGCTGCAGACACTAAGGCACATTTGAGTTTGGCCAAGGAACAAATGTGTAGTGGGGAGAGTGGGTGGTTAATGCTAGTTCTTTTCATGCACATTATCATCCACAGAGAACACTGACTAGAAATCCTACCACGTCCTCAAGTGAGGAACAGTATGTTATACCTGAAGGTCAGTGCCGGCCGAAGGTCTCTGGGCTCCCAGGGTAAAATGGCCTCCTTCTATGATCATGTTGGTGAGCTGCAGTTTAGAGGCTGCTTTCCTACAAATTATTTCTTCCACAGTGTCTCGGGCAATCAGCCGAATAACTTTAACAGACCTGTGCAAGAGTCAAAGGAGAGCAGTGTGCTACAAGAGTCTGCAAAGCCTGGCAAAAGCATGCAAGGGAAATATTCCTAAAAGCAAACAAAACCAAAATGCCCTGTTTAAAGCACAATTTTAAATATTTTTTTAATTTTTAATTTGGACCAGAAATTTTTTAAAGACCGATCTGGCCTCAGATCCTCTCTGAATATTTCCAACAAGCCAGGGGAGGAATAATGAGGTGACCATGACTGGGATTCCTCACCTCTGGCAAAAGAAAACCTCTGGATATACATAAACTATCCTCAGGTACAGTGTAGTGAATTACCTGGCATGACTTTTCTAGCCATAAGTCTTTGTAAACTCTGTGTGGTGGAATTTGCTATGAGCAATTGAGGAGCTCCTGATCGTAAAAGTTATCTACCTGGGGTATTTTTGTTGGGAGTGGCACAAACCAATGTTCCAGGAAGTTCGCTCTCTCTCAGGTAGGTGCCTTAGAATTCTGATGTCATGATTGGCTAGTTTGGCCACTCTGCCAGGCTCAAAAAGAGGCCTCCTAGAGGCAGAAGTCTTTCTGACTGCTGGATGAGAAGGACATGCTGCTAAAAGAGAAGAGACACACGCTCCTGAGAGACACACGCTGCTGGGAAAGAGATGCAAGAGACAGGCATTGCTGAGAGAAACACTGAGGGACATGCACTGCTGGGAGAGAGACTGTGAAAGACTGTTGGGTGAGAGACAATGGGGTGAGAGAGACTGAGCGTTTTTCCTGAGAGAGACTGAGAGTTTTTCCTGAATTTAAATTGTAGCCTGGTGCTTCTCTAATAAACCCCATAATCTGTGAGTTCTGTGTGGCCACTGCAATGAATTATCGAACCCAGCAGAAAGGTGGTGAGTGCTGTGAGAGGAACTGTTGGTGTCAGGGTTGGTAAAAGGGCTTGTGGGAGGCATGCCTGGCCTCACAGTAATGGGCCTTGGGCTACTCATAGTGCTTCTGTCCTCCTCTTGTGGGGTTAGAGGAGGTTGGAAGATGTGGCCTCCTTACCCTTTAAGCATCAGGTCACAGGGTAATGCTTGTGTTGTTTAGCTTAGCTCTATAATTTCATAACCACATTTTACATCAGGAACAATGAGTTAAATAACTTCTAGATGCTCCTTCTAATCCCTTCACAATTTGATTTTTCAATTTTTAACAAGGAAGTCTGCACTGATAAAGTGACCCACTCAATACTAATGTGAGAGTCAACAGCAAAGTGGGGACACAACCTGGGGGAAAAGGGGTCTCTTGACTCCAATCTGGAATGGTCACTAGGATGACATTCTTCACCTTCCTCCCCAACCTACAGCCACTGAGAAGAAAGCCAAAGAAGCAGAAAAGTGCTCATGTGTAAATCTCTCACTTGTTCTGGCCAATTCGGTGAGCCCTGGCAGCTGCTTGCAAGTCATTCTGAGGATTAAAATCACTGTCAACAAAAATAACAGTATCTGCTGCAGTTAAGTTCATGCCAACTCCACCTAAAACAATGCAAAAAAAAAAGTGATCAGTAGCATACTAGGAACTAGAAAATAAAGAGGAAAGGCTACAGAGGGTCAGATTAGTAAACTGAAAGCAATCACAGCTGGCTGCATCCTTCAAAAGACACCCCCATCTCTAACTCCAGAGTCTTATAGTGACTAAAAGTGCTACCTGAGCTCATATTGATGCCTGACTTACGCAATTTTAATTACTAATTATTACAGGATGAGGGCAGCAAGAGTAAATAGCGAAAATAGATACTTAAGTTAAAAGTGGATACTTCAGTTAAAGTGCTGTGATGCCATTTTTAATTTCTTCTGTTTAAAAACCTTGATTTGATTTTGTTTAGAATAGCCAGTAGAACAGGACACAAGCTCTTTCAGAAAACAGCTCTAAATATGGGAAAGTTCTACTGTGGATATGGCTAAGAGATGAGTTCTTACTATCAATTTCAAGTTAAAACTAAGTGGCAAGATCCCTGATACAAATTAATAAGAACCCAGTGCCATCAAGGGTAACTCACAGAGACCATACAGGGCAGAGCAGAAGTGCCCCATAGGGTTTCTATGGTTGCAAATCTTCATGAAAGCAGACCTTCACATGTTTCTCCCATGGAATGGCTGGTGGGTTCAAACAGCTGACCTTTAGGTTAGCAGCCAAGTATTTGTAACCACTGCACAACCAGGGCTCCTTTTAATGAGAAGAGGAAATGACATTATACCCTTAAGCAGAGTGGGAAACTATCTCTCTGATCAGAAAACACTAGTGAGTCCTTTCTGTTCTTGTTTCCACATTAATCAAAGAGAAAGTAATAGAAACAATGGTAAGATGAAAATACTCCATGGGACAACTTTCTGGTCTTTTCTTTCTTTCAATGCTATAGGAAAAGAGCTGAGGTGGCTCCTTGGACTACAGGAATTAATTGGGAGAACTATACAGGCAAACTACAGCGTTGTCTTTGATTAATGTGGAAACAAGTACAGAATGGACCTCCTTGTCAGGGTCGTTAGAGCTCATTGCTGAAATAAACCCAAAAGGGTGTGTGCCAAGAGTCTGAATTAAGGACTAACTTGAGGACTACTGACTCTACACTCAATCTCAAGATAAGTCAGGTAGGAGCATTCTAATTAAAGCCCTCATATAAAATTAAAGTTGAAATAAGGAGATAATAAAGATTGATTACTGAGAGTAACTAAATGTACCTAATAATGGCAGTACACAACACTGTGCTTACTCTATCCAGGCACTATTCTAAGCTCTTTACATATATTAACTCCATTAATCCTCACAGCAACTCTACGAGTAGTTACTATCATTATCCTCATTTTATAGATGTTGAAATGGAAGCCAAGAGGTGAAGGTCTTATGAGGTTACACAGCTAGAAGGTAAAGAGCCAGGACTGGGTCCTACATGGTCTGGCTCCAGAGCCTGTGGTTTAATCCACTACACTACTACCTCCTGCACATTTATCTCATTGAAAAGTATATTCCATAAAAATGATCTTTTTCTTGAATTAAGGCTAAGTTCAGCTCATCTTAATTAAAGGGTGTATTTTTATAAATAAGTTCGACTCACATTTGTTTGGGGCCCATTCATAATCCATCACTGCCACCTGGTGGCAATATGACTCAATCACAGAAATATTTGAAAGTTACAAGGAAACCTGCTAAATAAATGAAATTCTGCAAAACTACAGCTAAAAAGTGACAGTAAACCCAACCACTGGTGTTTAGAAAAAGTTAGTGTCCAGGTCTGCTTCAGGGCCTGAAACATCTGCTCTGTTCGACTGATCCGGAGTCATCCAAGGAGATCAGCTGAAAAGCACACAGCTTTCTTCCTCATTTTACCCATTTCAAACATAACACTGCCCTTTGAATACGAAGATGATGAAGTCAGTGAAGCAGAAACGGACCTGTCTTCCCAGCACAGAGGATGCATTTACAGTGATCCTTCCAGCTTCTCCTAAGACTAAAATTCTGAGTTCAAAGCACATTTAAGGTCATCATGCTCCAGATCAGCATAAGAGAAAATTTTCACTTCCAAGAACCAATTTCAAATTATTTCATAGTATGTGAAAGTGCTCTGTAACTGGTAAAGCACTGCAAACCTCATATATAAAATTTATGACTTAAGTCATACAGAGACAACGTCATCAATAATCCTAGAGCTGGCAGTCTCATTATAATCACTTTTTTTCTCTCTCTCTCTCTCTCTCTGTGTGTGTGTGTGTGTGTGAGAGAGAGAGAGAGAAAGAGAGAAAGAGAGAGAGAGTGAGTGAGTGAGTGAGTGATTTGGGTGCAAATTTACAGAGCAGATTTGTTTTACTCTCAATAGTTCATATACACTTTGTTTCATGGTACCAATTATAATCCCAACAATTAACAGCTCTCCTTTCATCTCCTCCCCGTGACCCCTTCCCTGCGTCCTTTTTACCTTGCATTACTATCTCTCCAGCTTTCCCTTGTACAAACGCTGCCCTTCTGATTTCTCACAGTTGATGGTTCTACAGGGTACATCTCCCTGGGGTAAGTGTTCTGCTCATAGGCCTTTCCACTGTTTGGCTGAGAGCTAATCCACGGAAATGAGTCCAATTCCAGGCCCAAAGGATAACTTAGGGCCATAGTGTCAGGGGTTTCACCAGTTTCTATTTAAGCAGTAATTCTGGTCACTTTTGAATAATCATATTTTTTAAGACCAGATCTTTGTTAAGCATTTACACACCTCTAAAAGGTATTTACAGAAGGGCAACCAGAAGCCCAGCTATTCTCTCAGTTCCCAAATTTATAGTTGGGAAGGAAAGTTGCCTGCAGTGAAAGTGAGTAAAGCTTTCAATAAAATGTCTCAGGATAATTCCAAGATCAGTGGTCAAAACATATTAGAATTACTTTCCAACAACCTCAAGTTCAGCCTTACTTTTTGATGAGATGATAGCCCAGTTTGTATAGAAAGCAGTAATATGCTAGAAGTAGCTTGGTGAACTTGTATCAGCTACTTCAGTTTCCCTCTCTTACACTCTTTGGTAATGATTTGCCCTTACAAAGGATTAAGGATTAAGGGACTAGTGGTTGGGATTTAGAAGTACTAAATCATTTAGATTTGGCTACTTTGGTCAATGCCTACGTGGCCTACCTGCTCTGGTGCTCAGGAGAAAAACAAAAATGGGCTGCTGTCCGAAGCTCTTAATAGCCAGGTGTCTCTCTTCTCCTCTCACAGAACCATCCACACGCTCATAGCTGTAACCTTTACACAGAGGGAAAAAACAGAAATCTTAAGCCTTTTCACATACTCTTTGGGAGATAAAAAATTAAATCAGCACCAAACCAAAGAGCCAATCTTGTCCCTTTCCATATACAGGCATGCCCCTATGTTAAGCAATCCCCATAGGGAAAAGTCTAAATTTGGGGGATAAATTATTACTTTATAAAAAGACTCACCATATACTCTAGGTTTTTAAAACACATGCAGTTAATGTATTTTGCACTTACATAGTTAATATTCAGTTCAAGTATTCCAAGCAACCCTGAGTGTCCACACTGTGGCAGTTTCTACTTTTGCTAAGACCAACTGTCACTTATGCAAGCAATAAGACAAGCAACGAGGAGCAAGGGACTGAGCCTGCCCAATGGTCCAGCACCTGCCTTCCAGTGAAGCTTTAGAGCTCTCCACTGGTGACCATGACCCATGTCAGGAAGGGGAATTACATGCTCAAGCAATGTTTGTGAACCTGGATCTCAAAGTGCCAATGAGCCTTTCCTACAAGTGTCCACTGGATCTGGGATAATGCAGTACTTGAGGGTCATCAACTGAATCTGAGAGATTTACTCTGAACTAATTTTTTAGGTCAAAACCAAAAATCCAAACTCACTGCCAGCAAGTTGGATCTGACTCATAGCAACCCCTCCTTGGGTTTCAGAGATGATATCACTATGGAAGTAGATTGCCCAACCTTCTTTCCAAGGAGTGGCTGGTGGGTTTGAACCGCCAGCCTTCTGGTTGGCAGTCAAATACTTTAGGCACTACGCCACCAGAGGTCTAGTGTTAATATGTCTTCACCAATGGGCTCAAGATCAATCAATGTTACCACCTTTTCCTACCATCTCATATAAATTTTATTATATATAAAAAAGGTTCCTCAAATAATAACCTGCTGTTGTTGTTGTTATGTGCCGTCAAGTTGGACCCAACTCATAGCGACTCCTCCCTGGGTTTCCAAGGTGGTATCACTATGGAAGTAGACTGCCCAACCTTCCTTCCGAGGAGTGGCTGGTGGGTTTGAACCGCCAACCTTCTGGTTAGCAGTCAAGTGCCTTAGGCATGCTACCAGAGCTCCCAGATAATAACCTACATTCCCTGTTGTCTATAAATAAAAAATTGCCCTCACCTTTCCCCTGGTAGGAATGAGAGATCTCTACAAATTTCAGCATTTATATTTTCTACTGATTCTGAACAAGAGCTCAAATGTTGAGCTGAATTTTGCAAGACACTGGAAGCTCTGGTCACTGACACTTTGTTCGTCAAGCATTACAGAAACACTCAAGGATCCCTCTGCAACATTTGCTCCAATGGCTACTAATTTAAATCACTTTACCAATGGGAACATGAATGTTTATTTCTGTCCAAATGTCTCTACCCAGCTGCCTATCTTTGCCTTAGACACCTCTTTCTCCTTACTTTTGACCTTCTATTGGTTGTGAATAATATTCCTTCACTGTTCTCCTCCATAACGTTCCCACACGCCAAATCACTGTTTATGAATCTTTGGGGACTGTAAAATCCAAAAAAGCCTTGGACAATGTAGTGGCTAAAGGGTGTCACCTCTGTAATCCATGTAGTCCTGGAGAATATCCAACATCTGGGTCATTTGGGAGAAAAGTAAAACTCTATGGCCCCTGGCAAGAAAAAGAAAAGGAAAAACTGCCAACTCTAGTAGGATTTAAGGAGGGATTCCCTCAGGCACAACTTACCATGGAATGTAAGATTACAAATAAATGAAATACTAAGCAGAAATATAAAAGTCATCATCATTTACAAAGACATCCTCAGACATTCTAAATGCTTTTCACAAGGACATACTACCACCTTGTCATAATCCTTCAGAGCAGTAGCTATCAAACTAGAACAGTGACAATCACAGGAGCATATGTCAGTGTGTCAGGGGGTATAAGAAGCCCTAGGATAACCAAGGATCCCCTTTTGGAAATGTCAATTTACTCAATGGAAAGAAATAGAAACGTTAATTGTAACAGTAAAATATATGTACAAATGTGACAGTAAAATGCAAAGTTCAAATGCATAAAAAAAAACAAACACTGGAGACCCTGAAGAGTTGGTGGTCAACCGTCTAGAGATATTTCCTACTTAAAAACAAACAAACTCACCACCATCGAGTTGATTGGACTCACAGCGGACCCTCCTTGAATGTCCGAGGCGGTATCTCTATGGAAATAGATTGCCCAATCTTCCTTCCGAGGAGTTGCTAGTGGGTTTGAACTGCCAGCCTTCTGGTTAGCAGTCAAATGCCTTAGGCACTATGCTACCCAAGGTATAAAATCACTATCCTCTCATCTAGAGATATGTCAGTTAAAAGGTCTGAGAAGAATCCCTTTAGAGAAGCAAGGAGCAGGTGACATCTCATATCCTATTTGAGACATGAGAAACTAATGCATAGGGAGGGGGCAGAATGATGAATTAAGGCAGGAACAAAGTCAAACTGAAAGCTCCACATTATCAGTCATTATTTTAAGTCAGTATAAACAAAGCAGCACAAGCTGTCAGAACAACATTCTCACCAGGAACACTAACTTCAATGGTGAACTCCTTCAGTGTCTATCCCAAGTAAGGAAGCAAACCCAATGAACTTGAAGGTGAGAACTTCCATTCTAATCACACTTTTGTCATTTGATATGTGATCTTGGACAAGTCATATGACCTCTCTAGGCTTGTTTTATCACCTGTGAAATGAAAGGCTAGATAGAGATATTTATGGATCCTATAACTCTAACATACTTACAGTAGATATATCAGAGCCAATAAAATATAGTCAAGACCTATAATTGTTTAACTTGCACATTCTTAAGGTTAGTAGGTTTTGCTAAATCTGATGTTTTAGGTTAGTCTATTCTGTACCTGGGGCAACTGTCACACTGGGGAAAATCTGAAATCCTGGGAAGCTGGGCTTTTTCTCCACTCCTGTCCCTCTGGGGACTAGGAGCTGAACCCCAGGTCACTGAACACCAATGGAACCCTCAGAGGCTCCAACTTGTGTCTCTGGAAAAGTTCATCCTGAGTTCAAACCAAACACTACAGGTTAATAAAAATGAACATTTACCAATCCTACTTCCGTAGTGATACTGCCTCGGAAACCCAAGGAGGGGTCGCTATGAGTCGGGGCCGACTCGACGGCACATAACAACAACAACAACAATTATGTGCCAATTCTATGCACAGTACCTGTTCTGGTTACCTAGTGCCACTCTGACAAGAAATATACCACAAATGGGATGGCCTTAACAAACAGGAGTTTATTCTTACTAGTGACTATCCCCAAGGATACTCAAGCTTACTAGATAGCTAGTGACTATCCCCAAGGCTGCTTCTTATATACAGGAAGCAGATCACATACCCAAAGGCAGCTATTCAGCTGCTTGTGGTAGATCCCACCACGTAGTTGATTGACAGTTTCATCATGGGGTAACTACCACCAGCTGCCCAGCCATTCAACCAGGCCTAGCCAAGTTGACACACAAACATAACCACCATAGTACCGAAAGGTAATTATGAAAGAAATGCTTGATGTGTCTCTGTCCTGTGGAGCTAAACAATATAGCTAAAGTGGTAAGGTTAATGTATACCAATTAACCTTACAGCAGATCAAGGTAGTGCACTGCCAAGTGCTGAATTCAGATCATAGGTGCTGGCGGAATTCAGTAAAGCAAAGGATGACTGTGAAGGTGCTGGAGTGAGGTGCGAATGCAAACACAGAAGAGGGAAACCTGAATCGGGATCTTGAAAAAAGGAAAATTGAACTAGTCTCAAGAAATCAGTGAGTCTCTCATTACTAAAATCTTAAGAGTCACTATCTCAGAACAGGTAATATGAACCAAGCACCTACCTGGAATACAGAAATGCCAGCAGCTTATCCAGCAGGTACAGTTTCCCACTGGCCTCAATCAGGTGGTCTCCAATTTCAAAAGGCTCTGGCTCCACACCTAGAAAATAAAGAACCCATTCCCAATAATGTGTCCCTAGTCAAGGCAGAGTCCTTGAGCAGAAAAACTAATGCCCAACCTATAGCAAGAGTCAAGCTCTTTCTAACTGAGGAGTTCCACTCTCACTTCTCTTTGAGGCTTCTTATAACTATGATGCATGATGATCTTAGTGGTGCTTAACGCCAATCACAAAGCCTGGCGTACCCAAGATGTCTAATACACACCCACCCAATAACCAAGCCCACTCTTCAGGAAATTAAGACACAGGGAGATGCTAAAGATCAAACCTGTTGCCATCAAGTTAATTCCAACTCACAGTGTCCCTACAGGACAGAGTAGAAATGCCCTATAGGGTTTCCAAGGTTATACTCTTTACAGAAGCAGACTGCCACATCTTTCTCCCATGAAGCAGCTGGTGGGTTTGAACCCACAACCTTTCGGTTAGCAGGCAAGTGCTTAAGCACAGCATCACCAGGTTTTCTTGCTAAAGGTTAAGGGGACTCAAACTTGAGGCTCTCATTCTAGAAAAAAAATCAAGAAAGAGACTCAAATGTATAAACCAGTGACTCCCCAGGCGAGGAATGGCAAAGTAACCAGGAGGGCATCTTTTAAAATCTACATGTACCTCCTTTCCCCAGAAAAATTTCTGATACACACTTAATTAAGATTCTGTGAAATTTAAAACAGTTCTTAGTGGCTCTTGGAAACAATTCCCTTTAAATGACTATATCAGACCCTCCCCATTGAACTACTCTAGAGGTACCTGATCCAATCCTACAAGAACCTCGAGGGCTCTAGAGGTCTCTAGAGGTCCTAGAACCACCCAAGGGCCAACAGTCAGAGGGAATCAAAAAAATAAATAAAATGAATGAAAATTAAAACTATACATCAACATTTGTAGGATGCAACTACAGTCTTGCTTGGAGGAAAATTTACATCAGTCTACAAAATGAAAAGGAAACAGCAGAGGCAAACAAGACAGAGCAGACAGTAAAGTAGCAAGAGAAAGTGTTGTCCCAGAACCCAAGGTAAAGGAGTGATCAACTGTATCAAAGGTTCTGACAGGTTAATCGAAATGTGAACTGAGAAATAACCATTGGCTGAGCAACATGGAAGTCAACGGCAAACTTGGAATAATGCTGATGAAAGGCTACCTGACTGGAGTGGATTCAAGACATTGGGAGACCTATCATGAAATAAAAGATCAGATAAACACAAATCATGAGATAACTCACAAAACAACTGACCCTGACACTTCAAATGATCAATGTCATTAAAAAAAAAGAAAAGCAAAACAAAAATCTGAAGAGCTTTTCTAGATTACAGGAGACTAAAGAGACATGCCAAGTGAAATGCAGGATCTATCATTGGAATTCAGATTAAAAAAAAAAAAAAACCACAGCCATAAGTGACACTGGGGAACAAATGAAAACAATGTGGGAACAAATGAAATCAATGTGAATAGGAACAATATATTAGATAATATCAATATAAAAAATTGACCCAAGGAAGGGAGGAAATGAAGTAGATGCAGCATATATAGGCAAGTCTTGAGGAATTTTGCTATGATGTTGGCCCCAGAGAATATTGATGAAAACGACGTGGGAAAAGAGGGCACTGCCTCACCATCAAACAAGTAAGGGTGATCCACACACTTTCGAAGCTGGGACAAGATGTTCTGAAGTTTAACTTTCTTTGCCATTTCATTTTCAAACGCATCTGAAATTTTCAAAAGAGAGATGGAAAATCAAACAAAAAACCCTAAGTTTCCATAAATAATCTTAAACCAAAACCTGTTGCCATCAAGTCAATTCCAACTCATGGTGATCCCATTTGTTACAAAGTAGAACTGAGACCTGTAAAGTTTTCTTGGCTGTAATCTTTACAGAAACACATTGCCAGGCCTTTCCTTTGCAGCACCACTGGAAGTGTTTGAAGGTTAAACAGCCAAGCACAAATCGTTTGAGCCACTATTCATTTCAATAATGTATCTTTCAAATCTATACTAACTTCCCAAATTTCATGGAATTACTTTGAGAATTAACAATATATTCATATGAAATTTTCTTAAACTTCAGTTTGTTTTAAAATGGAAGTCTAAACTACAAATTGAACTCAGGAGTACTTTGCTACTCTTCAGCAAAATTCTAAATGTCCTTCTTTAACATTTAAATGTCCTGGAGCCAAGAGACAGAAAATGCAAACTGAAAATTGTGGAGCTGTTTCCATTCCTACCTCCCCCTTCCTAACCTTACTTCCTCTCACCTCCCCTCAGTTAATTAATCGGTAAATCTGATCCAAAACAACAGCTGTGCAATCTATTACATCTAGCAGGGTAGAGAATGATAGACAGAACTGGGACATCTAGGAATGTCTGCTTAAGTATAAGGCAATAAGAAAAACTGGATTGTTGTTGTTGTTATGTGCTGTCGAGTCGGCCCCGACTCATAGCGACCCCTCCTTGGGTTTCCGAGGCAGTATCACTACGGAAGTAGATTGCCCCATCTTCCTTCCGAGGAGTGGCTGGTGGGTTTGAACCGCCAGCCTTCTGGTTAGCAGTCAAGTACCTTAGGCAGCACTATGCTACCAAAGCTCCTGAAAAACTGGATAGGAAAGAAAAAAATTCCATAACTGCAACAACCAAGAAAGTCTGAGTTGCGTTCAGGATACTCTGCCACTGCAGCTGATCTAAAAATTATTCAGACTATAAAATTTCATTCCATGTACTTGCTATACAAATCAAGTGTGATTATAAAACGTTTCCAGTATGAAAATCACACCACCTTGCTAAGTTTGAATATGGACAATACCCTCTGATTACCCAGGTCTTTCATCAAAATGGCCTTGTAGTATTTTCTCTGCAATGCTGACATGCCATGGTATATCACTACTTCAGTCTTCTTGGGAAGCTCTGTAGCTACTTCAGCTTTCACTCGCCTCAGCAGAAATGGCTGTAAAAGTGTGTGCAGTTCACTTGCTGGGAGGAAAAAAACATACAGTGGGAGACAAAAATAGTACTAAGACATTGAACTACTAGAGAACATACGGCCAATTTGCTTCTCAACTTCACACCACTTCTGGGTCCAAGGCCAGCACAGTAACTTTTCATAGTATTTCTTCCTTCATAGAGTTCTTTTTCCCAATTCCTTCTGAAATCATTAGTCCCTCTTAACCTAAAACTAGGAACACTCAGAGAGTTTAAATCTTACTAATAATCATATTTGCATGGAGTTGTTCTGTTTCCAGTGTATTTTGCATATAAACTCACTGATCAGCATAATAGCTTAGCAAAGTAAAGCAAGTTAATGATATTCTCCCCATTTTTATAGCTGAGTTAACTGAAGTTCAGAGAAATTAAGCATCTTATTCAAAGTCACAGAGCTAGACAACTGTTACTAGCATTCAAACTTGGTTCTTTTGACTCCAAATCCCTTGTTTCTTCTCTAGATGTCTTAAATTTCAAAGACTAACCTAAACTAGGAGCTCTGGTAGCATAGTGGCTAAAGCACTTGACTGCTAAC